ACTACTACTACTACTACTACTACGACTACTATTACTACTACTACTACTTACTACTACTACTACTACTACTACTACTACTACTACTACTACTACTACTACTACTACTACTACTACTACTACTACTACTAGTACTAGGAGGATCCATTTTGCATAGTTTTAGAATCGATGCAATTCGAACAGTTTTTACGTACGTTTCGGCGCCCTCTTGCTCATCTTAACGTAGTGCTCGTGCGCAGACCAAAAACTCAGACCAATTCCAACTCGAGCACGCATGTTGGCTTCCAGATCCTCTGCGTTGGCATAAGGGGTGTCACTTGGTCTTCGCAGTCGTCTTGGGCTTCTGTACAATTAAAATCTTATTGTGGGGCTAGCCCAAGATGGTTGGGATTGGGCCCAGTTTGCTTTTCGCACTGGTTGGGAGTGGTCCCAGTTGGTTGGGATTGGGCCCAGTGGGTTGGGATTGGGCCCACATGCGGGGTCGACCCCCCCCCCTCCCCTCCTTTGCCCCGAACAGCGGGCTGGTGAGGGGGCTTCTCGGGTAGTGAATAGGAAGTAAGAGTTTTGAGTAGCGGTTGGTGAGTACTTGGTATTTGGTAGTGGGTAGTTTGCAGTGGGCCGTGGGTGGTGAGTAGTGAGTAGTGGTAATGGGTAGTGGTAGTAGTGGGTAGCGCGTAGAGACTAGTGAGTAGTGAGTAGTGAGCAGTGGGGAGGAAGTAATGAGTAATGGATTGCGAGTAGTGTATAGGGAGGAGTGTGTAGTGAGTAGTGAATAGTGAGGAGAAAGCGGGGAGTAGGGGTGAGGGTGTAGACATTAACGAATAGTGAGGAATGGGCAGTGGGTAGTGAGTCGTGAGTAGTGAGTGGTGAAGCGAGTAGCGAGTAGCGGGTAGGGGGGAGCGTGTCGAATGTAGCGGGTGGTGAGTAGCGAGTAGCGAGTAGGGCGTTGTGCGCAGTGAGCAGCGAGGAGGGGGTAGTCAGGAGTCACTAGTGAGTAGTGAGTGCGGAGTGGTGCGTAGCGGGTCGAGGGTAGCGAGTAGTGGGTAGTGGGTAGTGGGCAGTGAGTTGTGAGTAGTGAGTCGGGGGTAGTGCGTACTGGGTAATGAGCAGCGGCTTGGGGGTAGTGAGTAGTGGGTAGTGAGTAGTGGTGAGGAAGTAGTGGGCAAGAAATTGTGAGTAGTTTGTAGGGGGGAGTGCGTAGTGTGTAGTGAGTAGTGCATCGTGATTAGTACGCGGGGAGTAGGGATGAGGGAGTAGACAGTAGCGAATAGCGAGGAGTGGGTAGTGAGTAGTGAGTAGTGAGTAGCGCGCAGTGAGTAGAGAGTAGTGAGTAGTGAGTGGTGAAGCGAGTAGCGAGTAGCGGGTAGCGAGTGGGGAGTAGTGGGTCGCGAGTAGGGCGGTGTGAGTAGTGAGCAGCGAGGAGGGAGTAGTCAGGAGTCACTAGTGGGTAGTGAGCACGGAGTGGTGCGTAGCGAGTAGGGGGTAGCGAGTAGTGAGAAGTGGGTAGTGCGTAGTGAGTAGTGAGTTGCGAGTAGTGAGTAGGGAGTTGTGAGTAGTGGGTAATGAGTAGCGGCTTGGGGGTAGTCGGTAGGGGGTAGGTCGTAGGGAGTAGTGAGTAGTGGGAGCGTAGTGAGTAGTGGGTAGTGGGTAGTGAATAGTGCATATTGGGTGGCGACTAGGGCGTAGGGAGTAGTGAACAGTGAGTAGTGGGTTGTGAGTAGTGAGTAGGGAGTAGTGGGTAGTCAATACTGAGTAGTGACTTGGGAGTAGTGAGTAGGGAGTAGGTAGTAGTGAGTAGCGAGTAGTGGGAGCGTAGTGAGTAGTGAGTAGTGGGTAGTGAATCGTGCGTACTGGGTAGCGAGTAGGGCGTAGTGAGTAGTGAGTAGTGAGTTGTGAGTAGTGAGTCGGGAGTAGTGAGTACTGAGTAATGAGTAGTGGCTGGGGGGTAGGGAGTAGTGGGTAGTGAGTAGCGGGGAGGAAGTAGCGATCAAGGAATTGCGAGTAGTTTGTAGGGAGGAGTGAGTAGCGTGTAGTGAGTAGTGCATAGTGAGTAGTTAGCGGGAAGTAGGGATGAGGGGGTAGACAGTAGCGGATAGCGAGGAGTGGGTAGTGAGTAGTGAGTAGTGCGTAGTGCGCAGTAAGTAGAGAATAGTGAGTAGTGAGTGGTGAAGCGAGTAGCGAGTAGCGGGTAGGGAGGGGCGTGTGGGGAGTGGCGAGTGGTGAGTAGTGAGTAGCGAGTAGGGCGTTGTGAGTAGTGAGCAGCGAGGAGGGAGTAGTCAGGAGCCACTAGTGAGTAGTGAGTACGGAGTGGTGCGTAGCGAGTAGGGGGTAGCGAGTAGTGAGAAGTGAGTAGTGAGTAGTGAGTAGTGAGTTGTGAGTAGTGAGTAGGGAGTTGTGAGTAGTGGGTAATGAGTAGTGACTTGGGAGTAGTGAGTAGGGGGTAGGTCGTAGGGAGTAGTGGGAGCGAAGTGAGTCGTGAGTAGTGGATGTATGAATGGTGCGTATTGGGTAGCGACAACGGCGTAGGGAGTAGTGAGTAGGAGTAGTGAGTTGTGAGTAGTTAGTAGGGAGTAGTGAGTAGTCAGTAATGAGTAGTGGCTTGGGAGTAGTGAGTAGGGAGTAGGTAGTAGTGAGTAGCGAGTAGTGGGAGCGTAGTGAGTAGTGAGTAGTGGGTAGTGAATAGTGCGTATTGGGTAGCGAGTAGGGCGTAGGGAGTAGTGAGTAGTGAGTAGTAAGTAGTAAGTACTGTGTAGGGCGTAGGGACGCGAGTAGCGAGTAGTGGATAGTAAGTAGTGAGTTGTGGGCAGTGAGTAGTGAGTAGTGAAGTGTGGAGTAATGGATAGTGGTTAGTGGGTAGTGAGTAGTGATCGGTCATTGATGAGTAGTGGGTAGTGCGTTGTGTTTTGCGAGCAGTGAGTATTGAGTAGAGGGTAGTGTGTAGTGAGTAGTTTGTAGTGACTAGTGAGTAGATAGTAGGGAGTAGTGAGTAGTGCGTCGTGGGTACTGAGTCGTGGGTAGTGAATAGTGAGTCGTGAATAGTGAGTTGTGAGTAGCGAGAAGTGAGTAGTGAGTAGTGAGTTGTGAGTAGTGAGTAGGGAGTTGTGAGTAGTGGGTAATGAGTAGTGAGTAGGGAGTAGTGAGTAGGGGGTAGGTCGTAGGGAGTAGTGAGTAGTAGGAGCGTAGTGAGTAGTAAGTAGTGGGTAGTGAATAGTGCGTATTGGGTAGCGAGTAGGGCGTAGGGAGTAGGGAGTAGTGAGTAGTGAGTAGTGAGTAGGGAGTAGTGAATAGTGAGTCGTGAATAGTGAGTTGTGAGTAGCGAGAAGTGAGTAGTGAGTAGTGAGTTGTGAGTAGTGAGTAGGGAGTTGTGAGTAGTGGGTAATGAGTAGTGAGTAGGGAGTAGTGAGTAGGGGGTAGGTCGTAGGGAGTAGTGAGTAGTAGGAGCGTAGTGAGTAGTAAGTAGTGGGTAGTGAATAGTGCGTATTGGGTAGCGAGTGGGGCGTAGGGAGTAGTGAGTAGTGAGTAGTGCGTAGTGAGTAGCGAGTACTGTGTAGGGCGTAGGGACGCGAGTAGCGAGTAGTGGATAGTGAGTAGTGAGTTGAGGGCAGTGTGAGTAGTGAGTAGTGAAGTTTGACTAGTGAGTAATGTATAGTGGTTAGTGGGTAGTGAGTAGTGATGTGTCATTAGTGAGGAGTGGATAGTTCGTTGTGTTTTGTGAGCAGTGAGTATGGAGTAATGGGTAGTGAGTAGTGAGTAGTTTGTAGTGAGTAGTGAGTAGGGAGCAGGGAGTAGTGAGTAGTGCGTCGTGGATAGTGAGTCGTGGGTAGTGAGTAGTGAGTCGTGAGTAATGAGCTGTGAGTATCGAGAAGGGGGTAGTGAGTATCGACTAGTGAATTGTGGGTAGTGACTAGTGTGTAATATGTAGTGAGTAGTCTTTGGGGCTAGGGCTTGGATTTGGGTTCGGGTTCGGGGTCAGGGCAAGGGTGAGGATTCGTGTTGGGGGTGGTAGGGGTCGGGTTCCGGAGACTGGGGGCGCCGTGGCGAAATGGGGGGAGGGGGGAGTCGAATTTGGCGGCTAAAAGGGGGAGGGGGGGGGGGTCGGACCCACCCCCTTTTTTTACAGAGGAGGAGGAGGAGGAGGGGGGGGGTCCCGACGGCGGACCAGGAAAGGGGGAGTGGGGGGGTCCCCGACGACGGATCGGGAAAAGGGGGGGGGAGGGTCCTCGACGACGGATCGGGGAAAGGGGGGGGGTCCCAAACCCCCACCCTCCCTCTTAGGGTCATCCAGCGGCGCGCCCTCACATATTATGCCCACATATATTGCACATCTTATATTGCTAGAAAAACAAGGCTTGGGGCCCACGTTGCTAAACTTTCTATATATTTCTATCCGGCGACTGTTGGCGACCGGTTTCTAGATGCCTCGAGGTGAGCTGCTGGTGGCGTGTTCTTGGAGGGACAAACAGAAGATCGCCGAAGGCGCTTTGAAGACCCCCGAAACCAGCCGAAGACCCTCAGAATCCCGCCGGTGGGCGTCAGGGGACCGCCGGAAACCGCCGCTGACCGCCCAACGCCGATGGGCAGCAAGGGGCTCATGGTCGAATGCGTAGCCCCCCCACACCTGCGCATGACAGTGACAGTGCGGCAGCGCAGTCACCTTTTGCCCATGGCCCCTGCCCAGGGCCCCCCGCCGAGCAGAAACGGGGCCACAACTGCCACGCGCGCGGGCGAGGACGACGACGACATCGCAGCAGCGACAACCCGCGCCGCGGAAGCCCACTTCAGCCACGCGCCTAAGTTCTGAACGACCATTCGGCCGTTTCATTCTGACGTAGCACCACCAGTCGGCCCAAGACCCCCCCCGCCCAAGACCCCCCGTCGAGCAGACATGGGCCCAGAACTGCTACGCGCGCCCACGGATGAAGTAAAACCGTTCATGCGCCCTCAAACTGATTTGCCATCGCTTATTCCCTGTGCATTTTTGTCGTGCCTGCCTGTTTTTCCGTAGTCATGCTGGCTCAAACCGATTTGGCTCAAGGCCAGTTCGGCCCAGGGCGCGGGATCTTTCTCTCGGGCTTCCCCCCGGCGACGCCGCATGGGGTGCCGGCGCAGCGCCTCGGCGCAGCCGCCGACTTCGGACGCGAGGCTTTGGCTCGCGCCGCCCTTGCCGCAGCAGCCACCGCTCGCAGGCCCCGGGCCGCGAGGCCCAGGTGCGCGCGGGAGGCGCGCCGCATGGGCGCCCCCGCCGGCGACAGAGCCCACGCGCCGGATCAGGCGCCCTCCGGGGCTCGCGTCTCTTGCGCTCCGTGAGGCGGCTGCGCGGGCTGCGCGCGCGCGGCCGGCGCTGCGCGCCCAGCTTGGCGTGGTGCGCAGGCGCGAGGCCCCCCCGAGCACGCCGCGCGAGAGTACGCCCACGCCGGAGCTAGCCGCCGACAGGGAGCGCGGTCCGCTCGCGGAGGACTCCGCCACCACCCCGTGCGAGGAGGGCTCCGCCACCACCGCGCGGGCGGACGGGCAGGGCCCGAGTCAGGGCTCCGGTGCCGCCGCTGACGTACCCCCACCCCTTCGCCGTGTGAGCGGGGGCGCTCTCTTCGACGGGGACCTCCAAGCCGGCTGCCGTAATTAACCGAGCACCCTGATGGCCCCCCTTCATCTTCCTGCCGCCGCACACATGTTTCTGCCTCCTCTCTCTGTCATTCCTCGTCCCTTCCGCTCGTGCTCCGCCATCTGGCGTGACAGCGCGTGCATGCTGTTTCAAGGCAGCTTTCTCGCCGTGCTCCGTTGTGTGGTTCGGATGAAGTGTTCAGTGGCTCAGTAGCGACATGTACGCTGCAGGAGAATTGTCTTGGACCTTTAGAGCACGAGGTCGCCTGCTACAAGACGACATATGCTGCAGCTGCTATGCGGGCTGGTCGTCACCCAAAGTCGGGCCATCCTTGAAGTCTTCACTAACTTTTGTACAGTATAGTCCCGTGCTCCCAAGCCGAGCCGAGTGAAGAACGACATCTAATGCGACTGCTCGTGCTGTGCAGTGATGGGAACGCCCGCTCGCTGTCCTCATGTTGCTCCGCAATGGTGGCAATGCCCGCTGGCTGTCCTCATGTTTAACTTGCCTGCAGTGGCTTCTTGGCAGGCGCACCCCTGGATGACCAACTCTGTTTGCCCAGGGCCTGGTTAGCGTGCCAAGTGGACTGCGGTGAGATTAGCGCGCCAACGAGGCTGCGGAATTCGGGGCGCACACGCACGCAACTCGCAACTGTTGCAACATTGGATGGGAAACAATCAGCTGGAACATCAGTTCTATGCACCGCCGGAACATCAGTTGCGAGGTGGACCTCTTTGGGAGCATCACGCTTGTCACTCATGCTTGCCCTGACATGTCTCGCTGAGCTGGTCAACGCAGCGTTGTGCGAGCATGAACTTCCTTTCCTTGATTGTTGGTATGTGATGCCCGCTTACATGAATGATCGGTCGGATCATAAGATTAAATCGGGCGCGCCCCTCTACAGGAGGAATGTTCAACAATTCTAGACGCTTCGCGTAGCCCCACCAGCCCATCCAGAAACGATGCCCAGAGGAATTGGCTCGATTAGGGAAGTGGGCAGCACGCAGAGGAGGGGCCCCCTAATGGAGGCCTCTTGGAGCGTCTTGGGTGCCTCGGAGAGCTTCTTGGGGCCTCTTGGGGGTCTCTTGCGAGCATCTTGGAGGCCTCTTGGGCGCCTGTTGGGGCCTCCTGGGCGCCTTTTGGGGCCCTCTTGAAGCGCTCTTGGGAGCCTTGGGAGCGCTCTTGGGGCCGTCTTGGAGGACATCGATCAAACGATAAGCTAGCATTAGTTAGCGTTGCCCCTCGGGAGCCCCAAACATCGCCTCTTAGGGCGCTCTTGGGGCGCTCTTGGGGCTCTCTTGAGCCTCTATTGGGCCTCTCTTGGGCCATCTTGGGGCCATCTTGAGGCCTCGGATGGCCATCGGAAGCGAAAAAGCGAGAACGCCAAACACATAGATGTTCCTAAGGTTTTGGCCTCTTCGGGGCCTCCTGGGGGAGCTATTTGGCCGCTGGGGGCCGTCTTGGAGCGGTCTTGGGACATCTTGGAGCATCGTGGGAGCCATTATGAGACATCTTGGGGTATCTTGAGCCATCTTGGAGGTCATCGTGGGCTCTCCCAGGCGCTCTTAGAGTCATCTCAATCAGTGCCCCCCCAAGAGGCCAACTTGTGGCCAAGACCTTAGTAATATCTAGTACAATCAATGATCGTGGCCTTCTCGCCGAGGCCTCTCGGAGCATCTTGGGTGCCTCTGTGGGGTCTTTTGGGGCCTCTTGGGGTCTCTTGGGGGCCTCTTGGGGGCATCCTGGGGGCCTCTTGGGGCTTCCTGGCCACCTCTTGGGGCCCTCATGGGGCACCCTTGGGAGCCTTGGGGGCCATCCTTGGGCCATCTTGGGTGAGATCGATCACAGGAGGGGGGTGTCTAATTTGAGTCCCCCCCTTCAGGAGGCCAAAATGTGACCAAAACCTTAGTCAAACCAATGATTTAAGCTTCCTCGCCGAGGCCGTTTTGGACGCTCCGACACCTCGGTAACACCCTGTCCAGGTCCAGGGGAGGGGGTAAGGGGGAGGGATAAAACCCTCCCCGAAGGGGAAGAAGGAGGGGTGGAAGAGGAAACTCCCTAAACCACCGCCGCCCAGAGGGCCGGTGGGATTTCAGTGTTCTGTCGACATCCGCCTGTAGGAGGCAGACAATGTTACAATAAGCTGCCTTGGCACAGCTGTTGCAGTTTGCTTCTTCATGTTCCCCCCTCTTGCGTGCTTCGCGTATTCTTTTTACTCGGCTCGTGATGCGAACGGCACGCGAGCAAACTACAGGGGGATCTCCGCAACAGGTGGGTGGGTG